TCGGGGCCACGTCGTCTGACCTCGTGTCGAGAGGTGCGCGAGACCCAGACGCAGTCCTGGCAGCAGAGCGCGACGAGGGCGAGAGTCTTCATGATGATGGCTTGGTCTGTCGTGGCTGACGATTCGGAGAGGTTCCTTCGCTCACAAGGGCACTGCTCGACCGGACGGCTTCGAAAAAAAGTCTTGGCGCTCGATCAAGTTTAAATGGTCTTTGCCATGCCTCGCCAAATCTCCCACGATGTGTATTGAAATAGTCGAGCTTCGTCATCTCGTTCATGGAGGCGCTCCCCAGGCGCGGCTCATCGGCAGCTGGCGACTTGGTGATCCCGGACGGACAAGGAGAAGCACGTCTGCTTTTCCGGACGTTCGGCAGGCAGCACATGGGCATGGCGACGTCGACATGGGCATGGCAGCGACACAAGGGGCAATGGCAGAAGGCGAGCTGGTGCTTGCTCCCCCGCGTTCCAACGCAATGCGACGATCGGCGGGCATGAGTCGCATGCTGGTTAGTGTCATGTGGGCGTGGAACGAAATGACAATGTACGTGTCCCAATTGACGCAAACCTCCGCGCAACGGGTCCCTTGCGGTGCCTGTGGTGCTCGTGGTATTTGCCGTCTTGCGGAGGCCGTCGTCGAAATACTTCCACGAGTGAGACGGCGTGGTTGCGGCTCCGAACCCACGCCGTCCCGGAACTCGGCACAGTAGGCTGCCAAGCATACAGAGAGAGCCTCGTCTCCAGCTCACCCAGACTCCAGGAGACTCAGACTCCAGGAAACTAAGACTCCCCCAACTCCTCCTGGCCCCCGCGATCATGGTCCCCCGCATCTCGGTGCCCCGGGCGCTCGCGCGGAGAAGCTGTTGTGATCCCTGTTCTCTCTGTTGGCTTCCCCTTGCTACCGACAAGACTTCCCTCCCCTGCATCATGCCGTTTAAACCCTCGACCGACATGGCCAATTAAGCTTGACCCAACGACCCCCCCGCAGGAGATTGTCCAGATTCTCCAAAGGGTTGGGAGGGGGTCCTAGTTGCCCGCCTCTCTTCTCTGACTGGAGCTTGAGCTATTTGTGCTGTTCCTGTTCAATGTTGTTTCTGTCCTGCTGCTGTAGGGGTACTCCAACTGCTGCCACCAAGACGCTGCTGCTCCTGTCGGTGCTGACACCATATCTAAATCTAATTAGCCTGAATCGCAGCTGCCCCTGCATCTGCTATCTAGGTAAAGAGCCGTCGTGGAGAGGGCCGCGGACAGGAGAAGGACACCAGCCTCGTCCGAGGTGGAGGACATGAGGCCGCGCCACCTCGCAAGCATGTTCAACCGATGCTTTGCTTGCCTTGCTGGCGGGTCCCTGCCTCCCCGCTCATCACCATGTTCACCTACGGACGGAAGAATTTCTGGTAGCCTGGTGGATCAACCTTCTGAACTCCTCCCGCGTCTTCCTCGAGCGCGGTTCGGTATCGTTCACCTCCCACCAGCCGGCCCAACGGGACCCCTCCGCCATCCCTGAAATGGAGGTCAAGGGGGGGACCCGCCAAACCCATGCGAGGTTCCCATGGGATTGCCTTAAGAGGCAACAAGCGGCCTTGGCATTCGGGATTCACCTTGACTTCTGCAGACTCTGGCGACTGGAGTGAGGGAAAGCTGAGCATGCTCCAGGGGAGGACCAGACCGACAGGTATGTGTGTGTGTGTGTGTGCGCGCGCACACACACGTGCCTGCGCATATGCAGGACGAGGGACCATGTTCGAGCGGAAGCTTTTCCGACCCTCTGTCGATGACGGTTCGGGAGAGGTATAAGAAGCTCGAGATCCTCTCTCGATACGACCCTGCCAGAAGACAGAAACGGCAGCAGAGGCAGCACAGCAAGCAGAAGCAACTGGTTCTCTGAGTCTGAGGCAGAAGACGGAGAGCAGAAAGAAATCAACCATGCGCTCCTTTGTGTCCCTCGCCCTCGCGGCACTCGCGTCGACAGCGGCCGCGCGCGACTTCATCGAGCGGCCGCACGCCGAGGCGCACCCGCTGAAGCCCTACAAGGCGTTCCCCGCGTCGACGCCGCGCACCAAGACGTGCTTCGTCAAGCCCAGCTGCACCGAGGGCCGCGACGACTCGAAAAAGATCCTCGCGGCGTTCGAGGCGTGCAACGACGGCGGCACCGTCGTGCTCGACCGCGAGTACACCATCTGCGAGCCCCTCGACCTCCGCTTCCTCCGCCACGTCGACGTCGCCCTCACGGGCACGGTCCGGTTCTGCGACGACATTGACTACTGGCTGCCGCGCACCTTCAAGTACCAGTTCCAGGGCGCCTCGACCTGGTGGGTGTTTGGCGGCGAGGACGTGCACATCTACGGCCCCGGCGTCGGCACGCTCGACGGCAACGGGCAGGGCCTGGTACGACCGCTTCGCCACCAACAAAGACGCTGCAGCGGCCCATCCTCTTCGTCACCGACGGCCTCCGCGGCGGCTCCGTGACGGGCCTCAAGCTGCGCAACTCGCCCAACTGGCACAACCTCATCGCCAACTCGTCCGACGTGCTCATCTCGGACATTGACATCTTCGCCCGCTCCTCGTCCGCCAACGAGGCCAAGAACCTCGACGGCTGGGACACGTACCGGTCCGACAACATTGTCATCCAAAACTCGTACCTCGACCACGACGACGACTGCGTCTCCTTCAAGCCCAACAGCACAAACGTCATCGTCCAGGGCCTCACCTGCAACTCGTCGCATGGCATCTCCGTCGGCTCGCTGGGCCAGTACCCCGAGTTCTTCGACATTGTCGAGAACCTGTACATCTACAACACGTCCATGTCCAACGCCGTCGACGGCGCCCGCCTCAAGGTCTGGCCCGGCTCCGAGACGGATTTCCAGCCGGGCCTCGGCGGCGGCGGCGGCGCCGGCTACGTCCGCAACGTGACCTACGAGCGCTTCCACTCGCGCAACAACGACGCCGCCATCCGCATCGACCAGTGCTACGGCGAGAAGAACGCCACGCGCTGCGCCGAGTTCCCCTCCCGCATGCGCATCACCGACGTCGTCTTCAAGGACTTTACCGGCACCGTCTCCAAGCGCTACGACCCCCGCGCCGGCGCCCTCATCTGCTCCACGCCCGACACGTGCGACAACATTCGCGCCTGGGACATTGACCTCAAGACCCCGTCCGGCAAGGCCCCCGAGTGGCAGTGCCGCAACGTCGAAGAGTCGCTGCTGCAGCTCGGCGGCAAGGGCTGCATTCCGGGCTGAGTGCCGCCAGGCCTCGAGCAAAGGCGATGCCATGCGATGCGATGGAAAAAAGAGGCCCGGCGGCCTCGTCCCACCATGTATATAGATCGAGCGGTTAATGATAATACGCACCAGACTCTCCGCCTCTCGCCTGCTGTGCATGCCTCGCCCTGTATCCCAATCAGCAGTCTGTTCCGACAGGGCCGCGGCTTCAGTCATGATCAACGTTGCATAGTGTGTGTGTGAACCAGGACAAATCGAGTCACAAGCGCGGGGGGGTTTTGGTATTTTGGTCTTTTTGCTGACTTGACACGCATCCAGACGTCCTGTGACATTTTGACGGCACCCCGTACGCCGAAGGACTGAATGGTTGAGACTGCCTTTTTATCTTTCCCCCGTACGACCCATCCCTCGTGTCGAACAACCTAAGCAGACCCCTGTACCCGAAATTCCTTCCTCGAAAAAAAGAAGCACATAAAACAGCAGCGCAGCTAGAAGACCCGAACGTCGTGTGAAAGAGCCTAAGACGCCATGTACGTGGCGGGATCGACGCCATCCTTGGGGAACTCACTAGAAAGAACACAAGGTCAGTATACCAGAAACCCAGCGTTGCACGGCACAGATGGGGGGGCGAAACATACGGAAGAGCGACCTCAAAGCGCTTCTCGATCGCGGCCAGCACCTCCTTGTCGCCGTCAGTGCTGACAAAGGAGATGGCGAGACCCTTGGTACCGAAACGACCGGCACGACCGACGCGGTGGAGGTACGAATCAGCGTCACCGGGCAGATCGTAGTTGATGGCCAGGTTGATACGCTCGATATCGATACCACGTCCAAAGACGTCCGTGGCGACACAGATGCGCTTGTTGAAGTCCTTGAACTCCTTGTAGCGGCGAATACGCTCCTCCTGCGACACGCCCGAGTGCACGGCGATCGAGGGGAAGTTGCACTCGCGCAACAGCTTGTCGAGCTCGGTGGCGCGTAGCGTGCTCTTGACGAAGATGATGACCTGGTTGAACTGCAGGTCGTCAAGCAGCTCGTTGAGCTTGCGGTTCTTCTCGCGCTCCTCCAGCTTGATGTAGTACTGCTGGAGGCCGTGGAGGGTGAGCTTCGTGTCCTCATCGACATAGTGCTCGGTCGGATTTCTGCATGAACTTCTTGCAGATGGGCTTGACCTCGTCGGAAAGAGTGGCCGAGAACATCATGACCTGCTTCTGGGTGGGCGTGGCCCGGAAGATCTCCTGTACGTCCCTACGCATGTCTGGTCCGTGTCAGTAGAACTCTTTGCCGTGTCCCGCAACAGCCAGACTTACCAATCTGGTCGAGCATCTTGTCGCACTCGTCGAGAACGAAGATCCTGACGCTGCCGAGGCGAAGCACCTTGTCGCGGACGAGGGCGTTCAGACGACCGGGGGTGCCAACAATGATGTGAGGGCAAGTGTCCTTGTTCTTGATCGTCTCAACATCCTTCTGGATGGGAGTGCCACCGTAGAAGACGCCCGTCTTGATATCAGGCATGTACTTGCTGAAGCGGTTGTACTCGTTGCGGATCTGGAAGGCCAGCTCACGAGTGTGGCACATGACGAGGACGGAGACCTCGCCAGCGACGGGCTCGACCTGCTGGAGGGTCGTCAGGACGAAGACGGCCGTCTTTCCGAGACCAGACTTGGCCTGGCAGATGATGTCACCACCGAGGAGAGCCTGGGGGATGCAGGTTTGCTGGACTGTTCGATCGACCGACGTTAGATAGGATTCCAAGAGTGAACGGAAGGACGATGAGCAGGTCGAAAGGTCCGTCCATCAGCGCGGAAAGAGCCATATATCGTGCCATGTCGTTTGCCAAAAGAGATGCGTTGCCGCATCTGCCATTTCCTACTTGGGTGCCGCCCCCAAATGGCCCCGAATCGATGTATCGATTTTTCGTGACATGGAGAAGAACCATGTCGCACAGGAGGTTCGCCGCCTCTGCACGACCGACCTGACTGAGGCTGGCGTGCAAGTCGGCGTGGCGGGTTCTTCTCGAGCTCTCGACGCGCGATGCGGGAGACTGTCTGGCAAAAGAAAAAAAGCCCTGACAGGTGTCTGCGCCCTTGGGGTCACAGAGGCGACGTTGGCCGCCTCAGTCCCCAAGGCGGCGACGATGACGACCATGCTCTCTGGACAGAAACGGACGGGACCACTTCCATATACTGAAGTGCCGTGTCCGTGGAGGCTTGTTTATTTGGCTTATTTCGATGATCCGGCAAGACGAAATGGATGGCTTGAAATCGATGGACTTGGCTTCGCGCGATGGACGGACGTTTTGACGGGGAGGGGGTGATGATGAGATGGACGGGTTAGGGTATGGACTCATGACTGACCCTCCGAGGGATGCTCGAAGCCGCAATCACCGATGGCACGAAGGAGTTCGGGCTTCAGTAGAAAGTCGCGGAAACCGGTGGCGTGAATGCCGACGTAGCTGCCCTTCTTGTCGACACTGTTACCAGTGGCAGCGGCATCGGCGGCGCCCTTCTTGCCGTTGGAGGCGGCGGCGGTCTCATTTGTCTGGAGCTCCTCATCGGAGTAGTCGATGAGATCCTCTTCCTGCTGGCCGGACATGTTGGCGGTGTTGTGAAGCGGGAACTGTAGAGTAGATGCGTGTTGGGATGGGGCCCGATGTGGTAGGGATCGATCAGGAGCGGAGCCTGGTCGAGAGCGGTGATGCAACTAGGCGTTGATAAGAAAAGAAGAAGCTCTGCTGCAACACGACGAAAAGTGTTGGATGATTGTTGGGGATGGAGGGGTGAAAGGTCGATGGAGGGTGGG